GAAAGGTTAGGCGTCAGACTCACTCACTATTTTCCTGTTTGGAATCCGATCACAAACGATGCCTGGATTTTAAACACCGTTCTGGGTTACAAAATAGATTTTATTTCAAATCCTCTACAAACAAAGGTACCTTTCCCAATAATATTCTTGAGTCAAGACCAGACTCTGGTACACCAAGAAATACAAAATGTATTGTCAAAAAAATGCCATTAATCAAATTCCCATGAACATTCCAGGTTTCATAGGCAATATATTCCTGGTAAAAAAAGAAGGATGATGGTCAGAGACCAGTTATAAATTTAAAATGTCTAAATATTTTTTTTCAGATACCATCATTTCAAAATGGAGGGGATGTATTATCTCAAATATTTGTTAATACTCAATGACTGGTTGATAAAAGTTGATTTGAAAGGTGCGTACCTCACAGTACCTATTCACCACTCCTGTCAGAATTATTTACAGTTCATATGGGAAGGGAAGAAATGGCAATTCAAATCTTTGCCTTTTGGTTTATCTTCTGCACCTTGGTGTTTCACCAAAATACTCAAACCAGTAATGATTGATTATATATCTAGACGATATTCTAATAATGTCGTAGAGTTTATATACACTTCAATTACATGTTCAGTGGACATTGAACCTTTTAACAAGTCTTTTAACAAATTATGAAAAGTAAATTTTAACTCCCTTACAGGAAATAGAATTTCTGTGAATTTTAGTAAATTCCAAACTGGCTACTCTCAGTCTTTCATCAACAAAATTGAAGACAATTTGGAAATAGATCCGATCAGTTTTAAACAAATAACTTATTTCCACCAGATCTCTAGCGAGAATTGTGGGCCTATTAGCTTCAATTCAAGCAATATTCCTGGCCCCTCTTCACTACCATGCAGTCCAAAGGCTAAAGAAAGAACATTACCGAAATGGTCTTTGCTATTCAGATGAGATTGCTTTAACTCCACATACAAGAATAGGCTAGATCATGTTCAAATGTGGTATGGGAAAGCAATTTTCACATAATTCCCAGATCTAATTATAAAATCTAATGCAAGTCGGATTGGTTGGGGTGCCTATTGCGGAGGAAACTCCACAAATGGCCTCTGACAGAGAAATGTATGCATATAAATTGCCTGGAACTCATGGCAGGGTTTTTCACTTTATGAAGTTTTGCAAAAGAAAAATCCAATTGTTGCGTCCTTCTCAAGATGGACAATATTTCAGCGGTCCAATATGTGAACCGTGTAGGAGGCACAAAATCCAAACAACCGGCGGATATTGCCAAATATTTTTGGCACTTTTGGTTCAATCGAAACATTGTTTTGAGACCAGAATATCTTCCCGGACTTTCCAATACAATATTGGATTGGAATTCCCGATTCCTACTAGAGTACAGTGACTGGATGTTGGATCATATTATTTTACAACGTCTGTACTCCGTATGGGGTCTGTTCCGATACAACCTCTTTGCATCACGCCTCAACCGCCAATTGAAATAATTTTTCAGCTGGCATCCAGATCTAGAAGCACTAGATCAAGATGCTTTTCTTCAATGTTGGAGGAACGGAGACAATTATGCATTTCAACTGTTTGCCATGACTTCTTGGGTTCTTCTGAAGGCATGGTCTCAGAAATCAACCCTTGTATTGATAATTCCCTTCTGGCCATCACAGCCTTGGTTCCCTCAACTTCTCAGCCTGCTAATAGATTACCCAAGACTCATACTAATGCGTTAGGATTTTCTGCACGATCCAGACAGGAATCTTCACCCCCTGGTGATATAAGACCAACTATTTATAATAGCATCACTCTTTTTGGGTCACACGAAACTCAGACAGTTTTCAGATTCAACTAGAAACATGCTCTCAGAAGCATGGGCACCAGGTACCCGTGCAAGTTACAGATCGGGATTTGCCTGAAAAATTTGACCTAATTGGTGCTTGGAACAGGCTATGGATACCATACATTCTGATTTAGCAAACATCCTAAATTTTTTGTCTATTTCATTTGACTCAGGTAAAGCATACCACACTATTAATGTATATCATTCAGCGATATCAGCAAACCATGACCCAATTGAGTCATTTCCTGTGGGCAAACACCCCCTAGTATGCAGACTTTTAAAGGGCATTAAATTAAAATGCCCACCATGCCCTAAATATAATTTTACTTGGAATGTCAATCTGGTTCTCCAATCAATAGAATCTTGGGATGGCAATGATTCATTATCTTTGAAATAAACTCACTGTTTTAACAGTAAACAATGGTGAGAGCACAGAGAAACAATAATTACCCTTATATCCAATATAAAACATATTCATGAGCCACTTAATATGGAAGCTGGCTCAGACTAGGAACATTGAATGGATTAGTGAGGTGGTCGTTGTAATCCAACTGCTTAATTGCTTGCTCCTTCTTGCTTTACAAAATCCAGGATGCAGGATCTTTAATGAAATCCTTTATTCGGTATAGCAGCAAAAAAAGATAGCAGCAGTAAAAGTTAAAATTCAGCAATTCCACCTCTGCACACTAACGCGTTTCACCCAAAGCCTTTATCAAAGTGTGAGTCCATTCAGTCAGTTCCGTTTTTAAATAGGAAAATTTCCGCGCCTTTCTTCGGAAATAAGCTCCTCCCCCTTTTTTTGTTGCAACTTTATTGGGCATCCTAGCGTCCTTAACGATCTCAATTTACTTCCATGTTCACTGAAGAAAAGGAACAGCGAACTAGTCCATTCACTTACACAGTCTTTCATGTTGCAATAATCAGAGTCCTATTAGCAACATACTTAATACATATTGTCAATAGCATTGAAACAAATATTATAGTCAGATATTCTTATTCCAATACATAGAATATTAGCAACAGTTAAACTCTCTCTTTCTCAAAAAAAGGATTAAAAAAGGTAAAAGAGAGGCAAAAGAAGAGAGAATAAATTTAAACGGGAAATAAAAGATCAAAATAGAAAAATCTTCTTATTCACATTTAAAAGGTATATGTGCTTATAATCAATATTTATAAAATGTTAATCAGTATTACTAAAATTGAAATTAAAACATATCTTATTAATATAAAACAACCTAAAATAATCTCTAATAGATTTAATAAATAATTATAGTTAAATATAAGTATTAATTTCAAAATCTACGTTTAATTCCCCTGGTGTAAGTGTATCCAAATTAAAAATCCATTTCATCTCATTTTTACTTTAAAGATTACCCTTATCACCCCCTCTCCAGTGTATTTTAATATGATCTATTGCAAAAAAATCCAGGCCTGCTGGGTCTCCATCATGATATTCCAAAAAATGTTTAGATAAACAATGGTTAGGGAATCTTCTCCTGATGTTATAGATATGCTCCCTAATTCGTATTTTTAATGAACGAGACGTTTTCCCTACATATTGTAACCCGCAGGGGCATGTTATCATATAAACAACATCAGCAGTATTGCATGTGATAAAGTGTTTAATTTCATATTCTGTTTTAGTATTAAAAGAAATGAATTTAAAAATTCTTCTATTTTTCCCAGCTCTTACTTTACACCCTCTACAATTTCCACAATAGAAGAATCCCTTCTGTTCCTTTAAAAAGTTATTGGAACATTCTTTCTTTTCTTTCTCTTGGAAGCTGCTAGTTAAAATTTGCTTAAAATTTCTAGCTCCTCTAAAAATTAATTTAGCTTTTTCTCCTATTAGTGGGCGTAACTCATCATCTAACTTTAAAACATGCCAATTTTTATCAATAATTTTACGTAAAGTGCGGTTGTTAGAATTAAAAATTAATGGGATAGTTTCTAGTCCTTTTTTAGCTTGCTTATCTTTATATTTCAAAATTTCTAAACGATCTTCCACTTTTACCTGTTTATAGGCTTTTTCTAGAGTATTTTTATCATATCCCTTTTCTAAAAATTGTTTTTCTAAAATTTTAACCTGATTGTTAAAATCCCGTTCATCTGTACAATTTCTTTTCAACCTTAAAAATTGTCCTTTTGGTATGTTTGATAACCATGGTTTAAAATGGCAGCTGGAAAAATCAATAAAACTATTAACATCTACAGATTTAAAATATGTCTGACTCTTAATTACACCATTATCTATAAAAATATCTAAATCTAAAAAGTTAATATTGGAGGGGCTAATGACATGAGTCAACTTAATATTCCACATATTATTGTTAAGAGAATCAATAAAATCTAATAAAGATTTGGAACTGCCTCTCCATATAATAAAAATGTCATCTATATATCTTTTATAGAGGACCAGACTTGCCCCTATGTCCAACCTAGAAAAAACATATTTTTCTTCCCAAAATGACATAAACAGGTTGGCATAACTCGGGGCAAATCTGGTCCCCATGGCAGTTCCCTTGGTTTGAAGGTAAAAGTCATTTTCAAACCAAAAAAAATTGTTTTTAAGAATCTTGATCCCCTGCACAATAAAATAGATTTTTGTTTCTATAAAATTACCAGATTTATTTAAAAAATGTCTAGTAGCCTCACACCCTACCCCATGTTCAATATTAGTGTAGAGGCTACTGACATCACAAGTAGCCATTATAAAGGAATCTTCCCATTTAAAATTATTTAAAATTTGTAAAAGGCTAATAGTATCTTTTAGATATGCCGGACATTTGGGGACTAAGTCTTGTAAAAAATGATCTATATACTGGGAGAGCGGTGATAAGAGAGATCCACTTCCAGATACAATTGGTCTCCCTGGTGGATTAACAGGATCTTTATGCATCTTAGGTAAAACATAGATCACCGGAATTCTAGGGAATTTGACGTCTAAAAACTCGTATTCCTTCTTAGTTAAAATACCCTCATTAAAACCTTTATCTAAAAAATGTTTATAAGTGGTTTTAATTTTTTCTAAAGGATTATTGCCGAGTTTAATATAGGTGTCCGAATCTTCCAATTGTTTATGAATTTCCTTTAGATAATCTTTTTTCCAGATCACTACCCCTCCCCCTTTATCGGCAGGTTTTACCACTATTGTTTTGTCCTTCTTGATATCTCGAAGGGTCATGACTTCCTTTCTAGTTAAATTATCTGGTTTATTTCCTCTCGTTTTAATTTCTCTTAAATCTTTGAGGCATAATTTTTCGAAAATTTTCATATGGTCAGTTTTAAGATGGCTAGGATAAAAAACTTAGACTTTTTCTTAAAATCTGTGTGTTTAAAAAGATCATCTAGTTTATCATTTTTTTCTTTATTCCCCTCAAGTTTATTAAAAAACTTCTTCAAACATAATTTTCTAAAAAAACGATGAATATCTAAAAACGTTTCAAATTTATCTATTTCACACGCAGGGGCATATTTAAAGCCCTTGCCCAAAACTTGTTCATGAATCGGTGTCAAAAATTTATCAGATAAATTAAAAATCCTTATTTTCTGTTCATTCTTTATGAGTGCTATCTCCTCAGTATCCTTTCCTCTTTTCTCCTTTTGTTTAGTTTTTTGAATTCTGGTACCTCCTCTTCTATTTCTCTTATCCTTTTTACTGGGGTCTGTATTTTCTTCCTTCTGTCTGAAAGTCTTGACATTGTTATCCTAGCGTCCTTAAAGATCTCAATTTACTTCCATGTTCATTGAAGAAAAGGAACAGCAAACTAGTCCATTCATGGATTTTTAATTTGGATAACTTACACCAGGGGGATTAAACGTAGATTTTGAAATTAATATTTATATTTAACTATAATTATTTATTAAATCTATTAGAGATTATTTTAGGTTGTTTTATATTAATAAGATATGTTTTAATTTCAATTTTAGTAATACTGATTAACATTTTATAAATATTGATTATAATAAGTGTATTTTAAGTATGATGCATTCTCCCGATATACCTTTAAATGTGAATAAGAAGATTTTTCTATTTTGATCTTTTATTTCCCTTTTAAATTTATTCCCTCTTCTTTTGCCTCTCTTTTACCTTTTTTAATCCTTTTTTTGAGAAAGAGAGAGTTTAACTGTTGCTAATATTCTACGTATTGGAATAAGAATATCTGACTATAATATTTGTTTCAATGTTATTGACAATATGTATGAAGTATGTTGCTAATAGGACTCTGATTATTGCAACATGAAAGACTGTGTAAGTGAATGGACTAGTTCGCTGTTCCTTTTCTTCAATGAACATGGAAGTAAATTGAGATCGTTAAGGATGCTAGGATGCCCAATAAAGTTGCAAAAAAAAAAGGGGGAGGAGCTTATTTTCGAAGAAAGGCGCGAAAATTTTCCTATTTAAAAACGGAACTGACTGAATGGACTCACACTTTGATAAAGGCTTTGGCTGAAACGCGTTAGTGTGCAGAGGTGGAATTGCTGAATTTTAACTTTTACTGCTGCTATCTTTTTTTGCTGCTATACCGAATAAAGGTTTTCATTAAAGATCCTGCATCCTGGATTTTGTAAAGCAAGAAGGAGCAAGCAATTAAGCAGTTGGATTACAACGACCACCTCACTAATCCATTCAATGTTCCTAGTCTGAGCCAGCTTCCATATTAAGTGGCTCATGAATATGTTTTATATTGGATATAAGGGTAATTATTGTTTCTCTGTGCTCTTACCATTCTTTACTGTTTTAACCATTTATTTATGTGAGGTGGAGTGACCCACATTGCTGGTGATTGTAGCACTTTGTCTTATATTGTGTTTTTCACCATATATACACTTATTTTATTGTATTTATTCTTAAACTCACTGTTTTACTTTGTATAATTTATTTTAAAAGAGTTTCCAATGTTAAGGCTTTAGATCTAAATAATAGACAATATACACTGGATGGTGTAAAATTTTCTATTGTTAGATGTACTAAAACTAATCTGCATTCTGTTTTTTACCTTTCTTTCCCTGATAATCCTTTTTTATGTGTGGTTAATTGTCTTCAAATTTATGTGCTTAAAATCTCTTTTACAAGACACTCTTATTTTTGTAAACCTTTTCTCCCTGTCTCTTTTACATCTTTAGCCAGAGGGGTAAGACAAACTATGCTTATGGCAGGTATTGATATCTCTATATTTGGAGCTCACTCTTCCAGAGGAGCTATGTCTACTAAAGTTTTTCAAGCAGGAGGCTCTTTATCAGATTTATTAAAAGCTGCAGATTGGTTTTCGGAATCTACTTTTAAAAGGTTTTATTTTAGGCCTAGCTCTCATGTGTCAAAAAATATTCTGTAATTTAATAATATATATATTTTTATACTATCAATTTTAGTTCAGCTTTTAACATGCATAATATGAGCCTCCTGCCTTGTTATAAAAAAAATCAACATTTTCCTAGTCTTGACAATAGAAAATATAGATTTTAATGAAGACAGGAGGCGAGTATTATATCTCCCATTAATGCACCCTCTTATTTGTATTTTAACTCGGTCCAGTTTGGAATTTCCATTGTTTTTGTGTTACTTGTTCTTAGGAATTTATTCGGTTGGACTATTCTTCTAGAGCCGCATCTTGAAAGAGGAAGAAGATATATTCAATATAAAGACTAGGCTGGATGCTGATTGGCTATTGAATGTTCCACTTCAGTTACTTAACTGTTTTTTCTTCTGTCATTCACTAAACTTTATTTAAATTTCTTTGCTGCTGGAGTTAAGTTAAGAAAGTTTATGCATAATATGAGCCTGCTGTCTTCAATAACCTCTATATTTTCTAATTACAAGATAAGGAAAATCTTGAATTATTAAGCCATGAGCAGTTTTAACATTGAGTTAAAAAAATATAACGAAAAATAATTAGCTTTCCATGGACAGGAGGGTCCCACTTTTAAATGCTGTATATGTGCTCTTCCAAATCCTCTGAACTGGGGTATGTGAGTAGTTAAGTATATAAATTGTCATCCAAGGCACCAACTAAGTCTATGAGGTGATCTACAATGGCACCATAAATCCTCTCTCAGTACATAGGGGGTAAGGCAGAATCAGGTTAGTAATGTTTAGATTTACATTTTTGCTTGCGTAGATGATATTACATATATAAATATCCATTTATCAAAATCAGCTATCTTATCATCACCAGCCTCTACTGAGATAATGAGTTACATCATAATGACAGGATGTCTCTTTTGACATAGGGGAGGCTCTGGCTCCCCCATTCTGATGCACATATATGTGATGACGTTGAATTAAATTTACAAAGTGGTGTTATTATACCTATCCACTACTTGACTAACATTGCCTCTACATATGATGTGTGTGTGGAGAGGTTAATTTTCTCCATTCCTTAATTGATGTAAGATTTCTTAGAAAAATAATGAAAAAGGTAAACATTGATCTTGCTGTAAGTTGTAGTGTTTAGGTTGCTTGAGTCATATATTAAAAAAAAGATATATTTAACAATTCTTAAATATTTACAAACCATTATTCACTCTTGAATGTGTAAAACAATTAGTAGCAAGAGGGTGTTACAATTAGAAAGATGTCTAACATATTTAAAAACAAATAAATAAAAGAGAGAATAGCCTACAATTAAAGAAAAAACAATCTAGCTAGCTATCTTTTTTGTCTTGTGTGAAATAGAAAATAAAGAAAATAGAAAAAGGTAAACCCCAATGTTCCATTCCAAAAACATAATGTACAAACTACATTAGCCACATAGAGTTTAGTTGGTAAGGTTTAGGCATTACAGAGGCATGACAGAGTGTCAGAGTGTCAGTGTCAGAGTAAATGGAGTTCATTCAATAGAAGGGCAGATTAACTTGTTTTTTGTTTTTTTTGCCTTAGGGTCTAGTGCCAAGACAAGTAAAATGTTAATTAGTTACTACTAATATTATTGGAATATTGGAATCAATGCATAATTTATTGCAGTTTATAACAAAAAAAAATGTTTTCGTGGTATAGTAAATGAAATTAAAATTCTGAATGCTTGTGGAACATGTTTGAAAAAGACATAGTCAGCTAAACATTGTTAAGTTTGCATTTTACTAAGGGCTACAAAAACAAGAAGAAAAGACTTGGGTGCCCAAATATCTGCCATGCGTCGGTTTGGCTGTTTAGAAATTTGGTACCAAAAAACTTACTAGGAAATTAATTGCTCCAGGGTGGAATTTAGAATACAAATCAAAGTGAACACGTTTGGCTGTTGCACAGATCATTTGTTTCATTATTTAGAGGTATTTTCAACTAGGAGATTAGGAATTTGAACAAATTGCAGTTCAGACCAAACTGTTTCTCCTATTATACTTTGTATCATTATGACACCAAAGCTCCATTATGGGCTCACATTATAGCCAAACCAGCATCATCCCTGCATCAGCAGTCATGCACATTCTAACCTCACCTGTACTTTGTGTGAAAGGTAAGTACAGAGAATCAATGACACCAAAGCGCATAACTACACAAACACACAGTCATATTGTGACAGCTACACAGACTCTTGAAATAGTATATACCCACACACCAACAAACATACTGCAACATGTGAACACACTCACAATCAGAGCAGAAAGGGGATGATGAAGAGCAGAGGGACAAAATGAAGTTGAACAACAGAACAATGAAACACATTGTAGAAGTGAAAATATGGGGGCAGTGGCAGACTAAGAAGCTGAATTGCCACCTATAGCACTTACCTGCACCAAGACTGTAATCTGATGCACATTACTAATAATTATTACTTATCCTGGGGCTTCTTGCATACCCCAGCATATCTATCCACAATCCTGTGAATTCATTTGATCTACCAAAGCCTGCAAATTCTTGTGATGTTGAAAACAATCTGAGAGGTAGCCAGCTATTATTGCATCCGGCCAAAATATGTTTAACATATTGAGCCATATTATTTATTTGGGTATATTAATCTCTTTGGACTATTATGTGGAATTATCTACTACTCCTACTACACCATTTGATGGCCTATCTCACATCTTCTATACAGGGGATAGCCTGACCTTCTAGATTGCATAGCTTAGTGTTAGACAGCTTGACATTGCTGAGATAACCCTTGTGGACATCCATTGTTACTGCCATGGACAAGTATAACTCCAGTAATAGAGCATGTTAACGGCCTTAGAGTGGCCAGACTTTGCATAAGACAGACAGACAGAATAGACAGGACTAGCCAGAGTCAAAGGAAACCAGAAATCAGATAGACAATAAGACAAGGTCAAGTCAGGGATACCAGAATACAGAATGGTCAATAGGAAATCCAGGTCAGTAACAGTAATTCAAAATAGTATACATGCACTATTGAATTGACCTTTCTGCAATCAGTCTGTTGCAGTGCCCATATATTAGGTCTGGGCTGTGACTTTAAGCTCACTAACTCATCTTTAGCCAATGTCTACTATCAAGTTCCCTTGCCAAGTCTCCATTAAGAAGGCAGGGATTGTTTTTTCCTAGTTGTGGTTGTTTTAATTCTGTCAAGAGAATTTCTGCATTTATATGCATTTTTTGTTCAGCTGTAAGTTTACTACTCAAAGAACAGTATATATTGTGTGGTTTTTTTTTCTTGACATTATGGTAGTATAATCAGTTCCCCGTAATATATAAGAAGATCAATTATAATGCCAACGCCAAAGAATATTTGGAGAATGTGTGTGTGGGTATGGCACAGCATTTATTAACAAACATAAATAATTTAACCTTTTAACAAAAACATAGAAAATCCCTAACACAGACAATCATATGAACATTTTTTTTATTTTTTACCACAAATAAGGCTCGCATTTACCTCAGCTGCAATAACCAGCCTAGTTTGAGGAGCGCATACTGGACCCTAGTATAAAACACATTTCCCAGGACCCATGCTCTTAGAGTAATAACTTAAACCTTGACCAATTAAAACATTTTGCCATATACGCCTTAACCAGGTCCAATGTCAGAGAAAAAGACTGAGTGCATGACCACTTATGCAAACAGTTTCTACCAAACACCAATTGTTCATTCCAAACCATCCTGAATACCAGCATTAAAAATGTCCAAACCCATGCCTGTGGGATGAACCCCATCAGATAAGAAAACTTGGAGGGAATTTACAAGCTGATACCACAATGAATTTGAACAAAAAGGGAAATAGGACTGTTAACTTAAACGCCCATCTAGTGACGCCCTCTTCCGCCCTTCTAGTGATGTAATTTCTGACCATTTCATATGACATTGCGACTGTGTGTCCGAACTGCCCTAAGTTTTATAAAAAGTCCATACTAGTTCAGGG